TCAAACCGTTAGATCCCTGAAGATCAAGCGACGTTTTTATCAAGCTCTACTACGGGCCGTTTTGGTGTACGGATGTTAGGCTTGGCCTGCTGGGTCAGCAGAACTAAGACGCCTTCGGGCGTTCGATAATTGTTGTATCAGAACCATAGGTCACGTGGATCTGTGTCGGCGACTTCGTAACGAGATTAGTAGAAGGCCGTTTTCGGATGTGCAGCGGGTACTTTCATTGAAGAATACCTCCAGCACCGAGAAGGGCATTGGATAGGCCGGAAAGGCCAGTCATTTGGGATATATACGGATAAGCATGCGAGACCCATTTGGGGATTAGCTTCTGGGGAGTCAGGGTCAGTCGAACATTTATAGAAAGAAAGCGTGAGCAGTGGCATTTTTACCTGGACGTGGCTTGAAGTTATTTGTTTCTAGACAGTGGGAATTACGGGCAACGAGATTTATTGGGCACTTAGTGATTAAGACAATACTGCTTGGTTTAATTGTGCAGTCTCAGTTATATTGTGGGAGATGTATGCGTCGTAATTGATTATAAAATTTCTTTTCAGTAAACGTGTCGAGTAAAAGCGGCTTCCTGAAACTGAGAACTGGAATGACTACATCATAATTTTGCATCGATGCAACCAATAAATAAAAACCTAATACACGAAGAGTAGTTGTGTATTATCCAGGCATGGGCTTGGCAGACTGGCTATATGTATATGGATATGAAGGACCGTCGTTGGTCGTTAGATTATCCCATTATGTGCAATTTGGGCCTTATAATCAGCTGAGAGCATGGGTATGATACGCGAATTTACTGTAAATAGCCCCGAAGTGCAGCGTTGCGTATAATTATGAGTACGAGGGGCCGTCGTTTGTTATAAGAATAAGCCACCGTGCATAGTTGATGTCTCATAATCAGCGACACTGATCCATATGAGCTTAGCTGCTACGATAAGCGATCAGGGCGGGTGACAATGGCTATCGTTCATGTGGTGAGCGGTAGTGGGTACCCTTAGCTGCTAGCAAGATATTTGCGCTTCTTGACGTAATCCGATCGCGGAACGTCATATTCCTGGTAGGAATGATATTATGGTCTTGCTAAATTACCTGCAGATATCTCGTGACGCTGTATTATTCACGGGATGGTAGTGCATATCCGGTAAAGGGGATCATCCACAGAGTTGGCCGTCGCATCGCCACTACACAAATCATACAATTGTCGAGTTATGTTACATTTACTGCGGGGCGAGCTCCACAGGAAAATGTGTTGTGCCAAATTTCGCTGGAGAAACTCAACCCATTTGTTAGATCTGAGGAGCCTAGAGCAAGCAATTTTCACTGACAGATATTCCTGGATAAAATTTGCATTGGATATTCTGTATATGTTCGAGAGAGAGAGGGTGCCAAAATATGCTGAAGTGCGATTTTGTGATTTATGTTTTGTTACCAGGAAACGAAGCGAATCGATGGTGGTTCGTAAACTTAACATTTCGCTCACTTAAACAAAATGCTACGAGAAACATATCACTGAAGGTGCAAACGTATCAGACTTACACCCTTTAGAAGTCGCAAATTCGAACACCCTATGGTTTCGGTGAAAATAATTTGGGGGCGCTTCAAATGGGCCGCCCTTCTACGATTCTGGTGATCGTTCTGTTTGACACTCGCGCCGATGGGGAAAGGTTGTGCCTTTCAAACTGTCGTTTTCTGTCTAGTCTCTTCCTGAACGGTGGTCAAATTTTCTCCAACTTTTCTTCTTTCCTATCCTAGCTCCTCCGGAGACAGGCGTCTTGTTGTCCACAACCCAATTTCTTGATCACCCTTAAGGCGCGGATATCGACAGTACATTAGCCTAAACCAGGCCTTGACTGTGCTTGCCTGTGTCGAAGTATGACGTGCTAACAAGACCGTCAGTAATTTCACTTTACGGATTCACGGTTTCACGGATTTATACACAGGATCGAGGCTTTTGCTCGAGTTTCCCGGGTCTGTTTTGTTCTGGTCGGTCAGCGGCTGTCGTCCACCTGGAAGGCACGAGTGAAAAAAGGGTGTAGCACTGCTCTTCATGTTCTCAGTGCGCGAAAGTATGCTTACCAGCGCGAGAATTTGCAAAACTAAGTGCCCAGCAGTGCTTTAAACTGGGTTCTGGAAGGATCGTGAACAACCGTCGGAGGAAGGTCATTCCACGCACCCACCACCAGAAATGAGTAAAAGTCTTGAAAATTTTCCTGCCTTGTCCCCGCCGTTCTTGCTGCGTCAACGGTAAAAAAGACCTGTTTGCCAAGCTTTGTTCAAACTGGGCATAAGTAAGAATTAGGGCCCCTCGGAGGCGACGGTACTCCAGGGGAAAGAGATCAGGCATCGCGAGGCGCGTTTCGTAGTCCACGGATTTGTGGCCGGTAAATATTATCGTGGCGGCTCGCTGGAAACGCTCAATGGGGGTGACGTCCTTCGTGCGCCCTGGATAAACAACTTGGTTGGCGTAATCCAGGAGCGGTCTGACGTAGGCCCCATAGAGTATTTGACAGTCCGTGCGAGTAATACGGGAGAAGGTGCGTCGGATCATCTGTAAAATGCCAAATGCCTTGTGGGCCGATTTCTCATGATGCAGTGAGAAGGACAAGTATGAGGAGACCCAGATGCCCAAATCCTTTTTGTTATCTATCCTCATGATGTTTTATAGTCCTTTCTCACCACGCATAACAAAGGCATTCGCTGAGTCTCCTCCAAATGACATATTGATGCACTGTTCGTCATTCAGAGGAAGGGGTCAGTCCAAAGACCACTGCTTGGCAGCGTCTATATCTATTTGGGGGGCAGTGGAATTGGAATTCCAGGATTTTAAGTCGTCCGCAAAAAGTATACATGGGCTTGCAAGAACGTCTGGGTGGTCGTTGACGTAGATCAGAAACAGGAGTGGTCCCTGGACGGAACCTTGGGGAACTCCAATGGAGACCGGCGCTGGAGAAAAGTTGGTCGAGCCTGTTCTCACTAGGAATGATCTGTCTGATAGGAACGCCTTGATCCAGCGAATGGTTTTTCCTTGAATCCCGTAAGACTCGAGTTCGTGGCACAGTGGGACGTGTGGGACCCTATCAAATGCTTTTGAGAAGTCGAAAAATATGGCATCCGATATGAGTCCGTCAACCTTGGTTTGGGTTAAGCTGTCCATAAACGTCAGCATGTTTGTCACGCAAGAGCGGCTTGGGAGAAATCCGTGTTGAGCTGGAGATATCAGGTTGCTGGAAGTGAGGTGATCTAGGATAGCGCGCTCCAGAATGCGTTCCATCACCTTGTGAGTGGGGCTTATAGGCCTGTAGCTGTCAGCCAATAGTCGGTGGCCAGTTTTGTAGATCGGCGTGATAATCGCTTCCTTTCAAGCAGAGGGAAGGCGGCCTTCTTTAAGCGACTGACGAAAATAACCGGTACCGTTTCGTTTGTTCCCTTCACAAGAACAACCGAAAAGCCGTGTTAGCTCTCTCAAATATGCCATTTACCTACATACTTTGAATTTGTTTGTGGACCTCCTCCCACAAATGAAGCGACGGCGGACAGAGTCCGTTGAGTTGACGGCATATGGGAGAGAAAGTGATAACGTGTGCACTCCGTGAGTAGAAAGTAAATGTAATAATAATAATATTTTTCCCAACCAGTGGGTAGCGTACCGTCAGGCATGATCATGGTATTACAGTCAGAATAGGAGCATGACTGATGGGTTTGTGAATAATGGGAATTTCCTGGAAAAGGGACGGTGACGTAAACAGTGGTCATTAACTAAGTAGACTTCATTACACCTGAGGTGGCTTGGTAGGGCTCCAAAATTACAAGGGTTCTTCATCTTCTATGGGGAACATATCGGATCACACAAGATCTGATCGTTAGAACATGAAAGTGGCGGGCAAAAACAATACTGGTGGGGATATAACAAAAAGCTTCCTGCCTGAAACGTAACAAAAAAAGCTTCAAACTGAAGGAAGTGTGGAGCCAGAATAATGGATCTGGAGATGCAGCAGAACTGCCACGATGTGGCCGACCAAGTTGAACTGAAGCCCAAAACCTTCACTGTGGCTTCATTGCCTTGGGCTGTTGGGCGTATGGCCACGGAAAGCGTAAGTGAGGCGGGTAATATGCAGTGCGGACAAATGGTATTAGGAAACTCAGAATAATAGCGTGCAGTGAAACTTGAGCGACTCACTAGTGTCGCTGCTGGAGCAGGGTCGAGTGTAAATGTTACTTGGGAGAACGAGTTCACGTAAGCTGTACGAAGATTGACTGACTTGGCGAGGAGTACGAACAAAAGTCGCCGAGATCTGCTTATCCGACGGGAGGTTCGGCAGAGTGCAATGAACGCCTGGAGGCTTGTGACAAATGTAAACTGATTGTGGTTGCCGACAAGGGAACGAGTGGGCGAGAGGGCGCGGCCAAACTAGGAAGCGAACAATTGCGGGTGTGCTATCAAATTGGGTATCAGAGTGCCGCACCATCACTGCACTGAAATACTTCGGTTCATAGACAGCCCCGTGACGGACGTTGTGATTGAGGTAGTTAGGCTGAAATGCGCGGTCCTGTGATCAGCGGGATGTTGTGCGTTTGCCAAGGGGGTTCTTAGGGTGAGCAAAACCAATGTAATATCGCCCGTAGTATTTGTTGTTTTTTCAGGTCGGCGATCCCTTCGTTCATAATGCACAGATCGAGTGGAGTGGACAACGGCCAAATAGGTCGTCCATAGCGCGTATTACCTCGGGTCGAAGCTTAGGAAGAAGAGGAACCGAGATGAGATCAATAAGGTCTGCAGAGCTATAGGGGTCATCAGACAGGATATGGTTCTTTAATAGGAGAAAAATGAACGTCTACCACAGTTATGGTGGTTACACCAGGTGGTTAAACAAGATAGGATAAAGATGGATTCGCACTCGGCAGTGTAGTCATCAAAGTCAAGCTATGATTGCCAATATAACTATATTTTCATCGCCTTTGAACAGTTTAGGGTACCCCTAGACGAATGACCAAAATGGCGACACGTTATAAGGTGGACGCTTTCGGACGCGCATTTCGCTCACAAGAGTACTTGGGTAACCTTCAAAACTGACTGAGCCTCACCTTCTCGCCAGTTTTCCCTGCTGTAGGATTCTGCGCCCGTAAGAAAATTTGCTGCTCAGATTGTTTGCTCTTTGTCTAGGCTGACCGGAAAGAATAATAATAGCTTTGTTTAGGCTTGTAGAGTGCATTCAAATCAAAGCATGTTTCTGTTGCCATAACCTGAAACCGTAGGGCAGCAACACAGCGGAGAGTGGAGTACCACCGACGAAACATGCTTAGTACGTGAAAAACCACAGTGGTTGTGGGAACCAGAAAAACTAAACAATGGAGCACAGGGTGCAACTAGTTTGGTGAATTGGAACTAAAACTGAAAAATCGTCGCTAGCACATGGCCGAATGAACACCGCAAGTGAGCGTTGAACCTTTTCAAGGGGCAAAATGAAATTGCAGCAAAGACCAGGTGGGTCAAATCCGAACGGAAGCTTCATTGGCTTAGAACGAACCCGTAACAGAGGCGGTTTTGCTTGGGTGGAGAATTTGCTCATGGTTTTAATCAAAAACTTTAATGACCAAGAGGTGATGGTCAAGGATAGGAAGAAAATAATTACGGGACTATCATCCGGCAGTGCCGTACCATTATGGCACTGACATGCTTCGGTTTATGGACAGTCCCTAAACGGTGGCCGAGGTTTCGGCAATCCGACAGGGTATACGCATTTCTGTGGTGGCTGGATCTGGGTTAGTTGAGGAGACTGACACAGGTACACCCAGGCCAATGTAGAGTCACGTGTAATTTTGAATCATTTGGAGGACCACGCGCAAACCGTCGACAAGCCAGATTGAATGAATGACTGACATTTGGGAGTTGCAGCAGCCACTGCTGAAGTTCGATAGGTGAGAAAAGGGCAAATGAAGGGGGAATAGGATGAGAGCAGTAGCATGTCCAATAAAAAATATTATCCAGTTGGGATGACAGTATGGTAACTTAATCTGTGAAAGGGTGGGTTTTTGGCTGACCCAGAAACCAAAGACTCGCTGACGTCGCCGATGAAGTTTGAATACACATTAAGTAATTATTAGTGGGCTTCTAATCAGCGTGTATGCAGTGCCTTCAAATAGTGAAGCTAGAGCGAAAATAGTTGTATCTCGTTTTTGTACCAAGAGTCAGTCGATCAGAAGGCGCGAAACCAGGCAACAGGAGTTGCGTAATTCTGGAAAGGCGAGAGCTTAACCGTCAAGGTAGGAAGCAAGGGGGCCTGCCGTTGGATATGTGGCGCGGGCGGCGTCAGTAAACCGTAGCGGTTTTGTGGCTCAGCTTTAATCGGAGGATCTCTGTTGTGCAAAGCGTGGGGGTAATGTGAAGGACAATGGAGAGATAACTATCGGTTGATCGACAGCATCCGATAGATAGGGACCCTAATGTAACTGGAAGGTACTACGTAAGCTGAAAAGAAAGTTGAGCATGTTTCGTTATTCACTGACTCACTGCTGTCATCCCCAAGCAGCGAACGGCGCATGACAGAACAACCCTCAGGAATAATGCGCACGACTGTGAATACAAAAAATGCATCCTCGCGGGAGTTACCGTTTTTATGCAGATAGAAGGGCGCTGGAACAGTCCAGCACGGGGGCACTTGGCCAAACTAGGGGTGGATAAAATAGCATACAATAGCATTTTGGCCGGATCAGCCGGTGCTGAAGTAGATGCGTCTGAGGAGAGGTTAGCAGGCCAAATGGTACTGAATGGGGCGAATTTTCCCGCTTCCTAACATACTTACGCGTAGTTTGTTTCTTTCTCTTTTTTATGATTTACTTTTGTTTACCTTGCTCTCTTTCCTGAGGGAAACAGATAAGTGGCCAAGATGTTGCAGTAGTTTGCCCAAAGCTAGGTATGGACACCATTATGAGACTTGGCATTTACGTGACCATAAGGTCACACCGAAATCACCAAGCTATTGCCAATCCCGACGTATTTACTATTTGTCCTGGTTAGTCGGGCGCCCTTATCAAAAGTGAGCCTGGAGGCCACGGTAATCCTGGCCGCTACAATCAGGTTGGTGGTGCGCTTTCCTGACCCTCAGAGTTAGCAGCTTATCTCCAAAATTACACAGACTCCACACTGACGAGGCGAAATACGTAATCTTTCATGGGTAGGTATTAAACCATTTCTGTCTTCAGCATCAAAGACTGTAGCGGCTAAGCAGTTTCGGCCAATTATACCGGCGCCTGACATTTACCATGGCTGAAACGACTTGATAAATACACCACTTTGAAGAGTATGACCAACCCCATAAATGCTAGTGATAATCTTGGTTTGGAGCTAACGGAAGCCTTTTGGCTTGAAGCACCCTGTGATCCGCCTCGTCATCTGGGTCATCTGTCGGGTGTTTTTGCAATTCACCTCTGCTGGTTCAGGTCATTAAAATGGATTTCCTTACCAAAGCACCTAGTCGCCAGACCACACAAGTGGTTACATCACTGTGTACAGCAGAAATGTGTAGACTCACTTGTTTAGCATTCCAAGATGAGTCAGGCGTAAATGTCCCTTGAGGGAGCCAGTTGATGCTAACCCGCAGGAGGGAGGGCGGAACATAAAGAAAATCATCGGCTTTGTACGCGGGCGAGCTGGAAGTGCACCGAGACTGTTAACTTCAATGGAAGGTTTGAGTGGATTAAGACGAACTCCTTCCAGATGCGGAATCCGCAGATTGAAAGGTAAAGCTACTCTGGTTCAAACTGTCCGTATATTTATGCTAGTCCCTGATCTATATGGGTGGAAAAGGTGTGCTCCGTTCCGACCCTTTATGGTTTCAAAATCATCTGTTTTTCAGCAAGACACAGTAATACAGGACTATCGTGGAGGCGTCTATCAAAAAGGAAATTCTCCATGCATGTTGTAATTCCAAACCTTAGCCTACCCCCGGTAACAAACTGGACCCTGATGGTTTCCAAGCACCTGTGTTTACGAACCCGATCTTTTTAGTTCCACAGAATTCGGCTTGCGGAAAACAGCATACGACATCTATTGAGGGAAAGCTTTACGTCTAGTTTAGACATTCCAACGCCGTGCAAAACTAAGAGTAACGCCATATTATGGCTGCCAGCTGCCATGAAAAGGCCGATTTCAACTTGGCCACATCGTCCGTAACGGTGACACGATCTGAATGGCATTCCTAACTGGTAGAGTTGTGGCCAAACGCATGCGGATGAATCCACAGAAAGTCGTATCGAATTCGCCTGCCAAGATATATTTGGTTAAACTTGTTGCTAACGTCCGCATTTCGGTTACAGCGTAGGCGCGAACCACAAAAAGCACTTTCTGCCTTAGTTTTAGTTTCCAGGTGGCAGCTATATTGCGTTCATTAGGCGAGTTTAAAGCTGGAAGGTCAACAGATCATTGTAGCACTGTCTAAGGTATTTCACTGATACTTAGAACTGAGGGTCCGGAAGCGAGTGATAACAGAGTTTGGAAATACCCCAATTCGACAGCATCTTCTGCTCGTCAGAACACCACCATCCAGTAATCACCCATTTAAAACGGAGCCTTCTTTAAACTAAATGCGACATACTGGCACACCAAGCATGCACAGGGCCCGGCGGAAACTGTAGAACAAAACCTCTAGGCGCTCGCTTATAGCATTTTATTGGGCGAAACACCCGTTACACGTGAAGGAAATAATGGTAAAGATTGATTTGCAGACCTTTGTCAAACCTCTGCAAAGATTCATTTTCGATTATGTGCTTTGTGAGGAATACGTTCCGTTATCAGCACACCACTCGACGCCGTTTACGTACACGTTATAGTATACTAACCACCTACCTGCGAATATCCTACGATGCCTGCTGTGTACCCATTATCCCTCATAGTAAGACTTTCAAGCTCACAGCACACATATTCATTAGAAAAATTTTTTCCTCATTTCGGTTAGTAGCTGCGTGGAATGACCTTCCTCCGACGGTTACCCACGCTCCTTCTAGAACCCCTTTAAGAGCACTACTGGACATTTATTTATGCGAATCCTCGCGCTGGCAAGCACACTGCCCCACACTGAGAACATAAAAAGCAATG